CTCAGTCACCCCAGCGCCCGCCCCAGGAGAGGTGAAGGTGCGGGGTAACGTACCCGACCGCGCTCAGCCACCCCCCGCGCCCGCCCCAGGAGAGGTGAAGGTGCGGGGTAACGTACCCGACCGCGCTCAGCTGCCTGGACTCCCAGCTCTGTGGCCGCCACTGACAGGGCGCCCGCTGAAATATCACCCTGTACCAGCGCTGAGAGAGAGAAAGGCCCCGTCTCGCGCTGTACCAGCCTCCCCGCTCGCAGAGGGGCTGAATGCCCAGCCCGGCACAGTACAATCCCCCATTCATCCCCTGCTGTCCCCAGCACCTCGCTGGCCCACACAGACCAGCCATTCTCAGCAGGGGGGGCTTGCTTTCACATTCGGCAGGGATGTCAGCTGGGAGTAATGCGATTCACCAGTTGCTAACGCTTATGGCTGAGGGTGTCAGGTTTATGGCAGCACACACATGTAACATGTCCTGTTAGACACCAGAAGTGCACAATTCTAAGGATCATCTGGAAGGTCTGCACTCAGTTTCACAGGGAACGTGGCACACCCCTGCCCCCCCGCCCCCCCGGGATTCAGGTACAGTGGGATTTATGGCTCAGAAGTGGCCCCCTCTCAAGGCTCCGGGAGGAAGCAGTATTCCAGGAGAGGCAGTACGGACATGCCAGGACGTCCCATTGATGAAATAGCCGCTGACGGGAAATGCTTGGCAGCGTGAGCCAAGCACGGCTCGGATAAAGACCGCTCTCATCCTCATGCGCCCCCCCACAGTCCCCGGCGGTGCCATATTTGGTCGCGGTCAACGGGTTCATGGGAGACGAGCCAGCAGCTGGTGGCTTCAGTGAGCAGGGATGTAGAGCAGGGCCACTTTGAGATAAAAGAGGATGCTATAAGGCCACTCTGGGCACTGCCTGGCTAACGTGCTAACGGAGCACAGAGCAGGATGCTATAAGGCCACTCTGGGCACTGCCTGGCTAACGTGCTAACGGGGCACAGAGCTAGATACTATAAAGCCACTCTGAGGCACTGGCTGGGTATCATGCGAACAGAATTGTGGGGGGGGGGGGGGTTAAGCAATGCTTGGTGTTCAGACCTGAGGTTACAGGTTAGCACCAGCAGGGGGTGTATATGGGGCTCCATGATCAGACCGCCAACCATCTTGCCTTAGGTATCAGCAGCAATCAGCTGCTGTTTGCTCTGACGCACATGTCGTTTGCCGTCATTTCCCATATATTTATTGGTCAGTGTTATTTATTGTTCCTCTGCCTTCGTCGCCTGGCCCTGCTCTGCGATTCGCTCATGTGCCAACTCACTGCGATTCGCTGGCGTGCCGCTAACAGCTAGCCTGTAGGAGGTGTGCAGGTCAACATGCAAGACAATAAGCCTGAAACCAGACCCCAGGAGTGCGAGGCTGGCTGTCTGGGAGTCACCTCTTCACCCGGCGATGTCATGCCTCCCCAGAGCTCACACAGCCAGCCGCCCGTGAATACAGGCTATCACACCTGGCGGCGTGACATACTCATCGTGTTGCTTACGGTCCCGACGCTCACCTGCCCTCAGCTTCATAAACAGCAGGGGATTGTTCACCCCGGCCCTTGGGTCACACGGCGGCCCTGGGTCGGGGATGGGATTGGCACGCAGCTGGGGGCACCTACACTCCTCCATGACGCAGCAAATACAGCGACTGCCAGTGCCCCCTTTCCGCAATATTCCCCGAAACGTTTAGCTTACAGTACCTCACATCTCAAAGAAAAACTAGACTAGAACTGAAGAACCAGTATAACATCTGATAGAGCAGGAAGTAGAAAGCCCGCTTAAGACCATTAATGTAAAATGATCCGTCAGTGACATCGATCCATCTCCCATAAACGCGTATCCAGATCCAGCTCCCAGTAAGCACAGAGCCTAAACTGGGAAGCTAACGGAACATGGCAGGGAACGCCTTGGATGGGATTGCCAAGCGTGCTTTCAGACTGCAGGAGGATACCGAAGTACCTGGAGGAAACCCACATGACATGGAAAAACCTGGAACCCCCACAAATACGATGGGGTGGGATTTGAACCCCCAACCCAGGGGGCGTGAGGCTATCCATCAAATATTACTGACATTAACGAAAATAAACCTGAGTTTTACTACTTAAATGTTCCTGTCGCTGTGTTGGAAAAGTCAAACAGAATATCCCCACTTTCTAGCTGTTAAAATCTTGGATTTAAAATGTCACTCGAGTTTTTTTTCCCTCCATGACACATAAGCTCTAGGGCCTCAGTAGTGAATTCTGAATGTTCCTGGATTACTAGACCGATTGCAATCAACATGAGAACTACTTGCAATGGCCTGCAGAGGGCACCATTGCCCATCTTTCTTATGACTGGGGGCCATTTCTGATTTGCCAATCGTATAAAGACAGCACAAAAAACCGATACCTATAACTAAAAGTTTTTTTTTTAATAGATGGATGGACAGATGGATGGTTCTATCCAGCCTGGCCAATTTCCAAATACAGTCAGCAGGAATGTGGGCCAGAAGGAAGAAAGCGATGCAGCGTGTGAGAAAGGAGGCCCACAGGTAGCGGGGGGGGGGGGGTACTCACTGCCGCAGGAGCTGTCGTCCTTGCTTCCAGGTCAGTTGGCTGTTCTGTGGACCCTGGGTGTCGTTCTCATTCTCATTCTCATTCTCGTTCCCGTCATCTGGAAGACAGGGACAAACCGTTCCTCAGCTCACCCCATGCCAGCCAACCAAGAGAGGAATCCACGTTTGGTGTTTCCAGCACCCAGACATTACAAAAGTCTATGAGTAACAGAGGATGGAAAACCAGCACTAAATGCCACAAAGCCAGGCATGCAGAATGTCACTCCTGCCAGATGCATTTCTTAGCTTGATTGACAGCCTTCTCTGAATGGCTGGCAAAAACAGGGGAAGTCAAAGCATCATTTATGCATTAATGCTTCACATTTCCATTGCTGGGCAACGGCTCAGGAAGGAGCCAAAAGGCTTGTGTCTGAAGCTGTGAATCCTTTTCAGCTTCAGCCTGCTGCTATATATGAGAAAAAGCACAGATATACAAGACAAGAGATTCAACTCTAAAGGGAAGTAAGAACCCTCGCAAACGAACACGGAACAGGAGAGCTGTTCAAAACCCTAAAGGGAACAGAGAACGCTCCGAGGCGGCCCGATGGCACGGAAGCAGGAAAACCTGGGAACGCAGGCGGCGGACATCAGCAGCCGCTACGGAGGTGGTGAGAGTGGCTGAACTGGGTCAAGGCAGATTAGGAGCAGCACCTACAGGGTGCTTCTTAAACGCGCGATTCCTGGAAAGCAAAGGGTTCCCTCTGAAAGATGCGCTGTGCTAAATGCCAGGCCGGCAGCTAAAACCCAAATCTGACCGGATGGCATATAAATGGACAGACCAACAAGAAGATGCTCGCAGACTGATGAACAGTGCATCCAAACGGCTCCCATCTTTTGGGGTCATTGTTGTGTTACAACTGTGACAGATACGTCTCTTCGAAAAAGCAACAAAACTCTTCACCAAACACAGGCACAAATGAACATAACACTTCCTTGAAATGACGAAGAGGTTATAAGGCTTGAGCCCACTGAGGTGACGGAGGTCTGGACCGTGAAGACGCTGGCATTTGTGGATTCCCTCCCCTACTCGCTGGGCAGACCTTTCTGTCTTCACCTACATCTACGCCCTGCATCCTCAACCAGGTTTTCAGCTGAGCAGAGGGGAGCACTGACTATTACTGCCATTTAAGGGGCTTCTTGTTGTAGTTGCACTACATCACCCTACACCACCACATGGAGGGGGTCAGAGAGCCAAGACCCCCCCCTCCCCTCCATATCACTGTGTGATCTTCCACCGCAGTAGCTGTCAGTCCTGTTCCTGTCACTGACCTACAGGCACTTAAATTATTAGAAATATCACTAATCCTCAGAAAATGTTTGAATTTTATGAGCTAGGATATGTGTGCAAATTCACACGAGATAAAAATCCATCCTGAAATTGTGCCCAAAGTGACCGGGTCTCTTTCTGTAGCAGCACAGAGTTCCACAGCGAGGAGCAGGTTCCAGCCAAGCTTCCGACATCCATACGTTTATTACATTCCGGTAATGAACACTGTGTTGGGCTCATTCCAGTGCCAGTGTCATTAACAAGAGCAGTAACTCAAGCAAAAGACGTAAAGAAAGAAAGTGTAAACAGCTGCATCAATCAAGTACCAAGTCACCATACCGCATTGTCATTCTACAATATGTTAACTTTTATATGTTTCTAAGCAAGACTCGACTACCTGACAATACTTTTCAAAAGCACTACCAGTTAATTAAATCAATACAACGAAATAAAAGTATAAAGCCAATCTGGATAGTCCCAGAGTCTGTGGGGTCCCAAGAGAACTTAGCCAGGGGAACAGTCAAGATCTAGTGAGATATAACAATCACTTCAGCGATTCAGGACCACACGCCTGCATGTTGAAGGTACACAGGGAACCGGCTGAGATCACAGAAGGTAACAGACTTTACCAAATGGGCTGTGGGATTTGGCATCATTCCCAGTGCAGGAGAGGGAGACACAGGAAAAACATAACCCAAACTTATCAAGCTTAGCAGTATGGAATTCCCTGCGCTCTTTTGTGAGGACTTTATTGGTGGACATGTCAACGTGGTGACATTTCGGTGACTGTGCTGGAAGGCAGAGGTTAGAGTCATATATTACGCAAAAGGTCAAAGGTCAGATGGGCAAAACCAATGGGGCAGATTTGGGCTGAAATTGCAATAACTCAGTGGGTGAGAATGACGCCGGCATGGTCTCCATGGAGCTTACCCGAGTCGTAGCTGGGGGGCTTGATCTCTCCTTGGTTGAGCTCTGTGCCATACTTTAATTTGTGGAACTTGGCCCTGGAAGAGAGACAGGGAAACGGACGGTTTAATGAAGGCGTCACTGTGGCTCCTGCACACTCCATTAGAACCTCTGTGATACTGGCCTCACCGCCAGCCGCTTCGTACCATCAGTCACAAAGCAAGACGCCACCGTCGCTCGAGTCAGCCTGGGAATACGGCTCCAAACGAGACACATCGCCTTCATTTCGCCTTGATTTAGCTCTTCAATATGCGTGTGGTGACCCAGCGATAATGTTCTGCTACACAAGAATTTTATGCTTTGCTAAGAGCTGCTTTATTCATCCACACATCGAGCGGCTCCAAGTATGAACAATGAATTAATGCGCCACTGTTGGAAATGCTGACTCCTGGTCAGTCACTGTTTGAATTTATACTGTTTGGTTTAAGCCCATGTGGAGCACTAGGCAAGCTTCACATTCCACCCCCTCTCTCCCCCCTCACCTTTGGCGGGCCTTCCCTGGCACGGGCAGTATGCATTGTGCCCTCCAAGACAAAGTGGTACTGGCAGTCCAGGCGCACAACTGTCGCCCAATTGGTTGACCGACACTGACTTCAATGTTTCCTATTGGCTCGAACACAAACTGCGATTGACAGCTGACAGTAATCACACTCACCTGGGTTTACCAAGGTTCATGCCGCCCATCCCGGCCTCACATGACCAGCTCCTCAATAACAACGCTTCCAGAATGGTAGCCTCAAGAACGGGGGTTCATAGCCTGCCATGCAATTACTATAAACTATTTTAAAGTAAACAAACAATCCAGGGATTACTTCCAATTCAACCCAAGGCATCAGCAGACGTAGTTGAGGTTAATTATCCATCCGTTAACCATCTGAAACTGGTTATTTCATGTAGGGTTTTGGTGAGCCAAGTATAGGAAACACCCTAACAGGAATGCCAGTCCTACACACACACACACATCCACCCCCCCCCCATCACACACACAGCATGTGAGAGCACAGCGGCCCCCGCAGAGCCATGAAGCTGCCACCTTGCCCATGCAGGTTCGTTAATGTCGTGCAGGTTCACGAGTGATATATTAACCTTCATTCCATCCACTCTGATAACAGTATTTAGAATGCCTACCTGGCAATTTTGTCTAAAGAAAAAGTAACAGAAAGCACTAGTTTCCATTCATACACATGAACCTCAAACTAAAAGCATCCTTATCTTACTCTTCAAAGCAGAACTGCTGCAAAGTCAGTATTTATTTTTTGATGAATGCATCTGCAATGAAATGATCACTGAGCAGTACATGAGGGAAAATAAAACCAGAGGACATTAGCTAACTTCATGTAGAAAGGCTCTGCGCCACTGTTCCCTTGAATACTTAATATTGTAATTAGCAGACAAAGTTGTCCTTTCTACCGCAGTACCTTTTAAGTGCTGGAGATGAGATGAACCCAGTGTGCAAGCAGTTGTGCAGGCAAAAAAGCAGAGAGTGCCGGGCAAGTGAAGGGGAGGGAATGGAAAGGGAACACAGAATTGTGGTGAAGAGGAAAGGACAACATCGCTCTGAGCTCAGGCCAAGGTCATCCATCACAGCCACATGTGATGGGCAGCTCATAAACGCCGAGGGAAAGCTGATCCTTCAACAATAAATATCACCCCAGCCTCCCCATACCAGGCTTAGGGGGCTAGAACACTGTTCCTGTGACCAGAAGGTCATTGGTTCAAGTCCCAGCATCAGATGAGTGATGTTGCCATTGGGCTCCTGAGCAAGGCCCTTAACCGTAACTGCTCCAGGGACTGTCTGACTTTGCTTTCTCAAATGTACATCCTTTTGCATAAAAGCACTTGCTAAGTAAAGAAAATGTAAAATGTGTGAACTGTGCTATGATTTCCTTGAATCCAAAGAGGGATTCATTTTGTCAGGGCGGGTATCAAACAAAACCAGTTAGTCCAGTTAGTCCATTAGACTTTGGTAGCATCCCCTTTGTGTTCCCTGGGGCATGCCGGGGCATGCCCCCCCCCCCCGACTCATCCAGACATCTCATCTCTTATGTCCACGTCACCCTGGTACAGAGATCACACAGGGTGATGTTGCAGCATGATTGCCTTTTGCTTGAGATGTTTTATTTCAGAACTATAAGTATCATTAAAACAAAGACATTAAGAGCTCCTAGTACCATGAGAGGCATCCTAATGATAGTTAATCCATGACTGTCTCTCATACACATTGACGCTCACGTACTCCAGTGCCTTAAAGCCAGCTTAGTCTTCCCCAAGATCTCACAATCTCTGATGCAGACTCAGGCGACCATCTGAGCTGCTGCATCAGTCATCCTGTCCCCGAGGAAGCACTTATCTGTCTTTATGCAAATACCTGGCTGCAGATCTCACTGTGGCCTCTGATTCCTGGCCATCAGGCCTTCAGCCATGTTTGTTGCTGTTGGAGTTCTGTATGTTACTGAAGGCACAGCCCATCACATGCTTAGATTGCTGCTGCGGAGCTTGTTCCCTCTGATACATGTGACATCTCATATCTGCGTCTGTCACCTGGTGCCTCTATACCAGGGTTATTCAAATCACGGTCCTCGAGGTCTGAGCACTTCTGGTTTTCCAGCCTTCCTTTACCTGTGAGCCAGGTGTGAAGCCTCTAACCAATCAGAATCAGTAATTATTAAACTAACTACCTGGGAGAACTGAAAACAAGGCCTGGATTTGGAATCGAGGTCCAGATTTGAGTGCCCTAGACTGCATCATAATCAACAAACACCTGAACACCCTCACAAAAATCTTGGGACTTATGAGATCTGGCAGATACAGTGCGTGACAAAGTATTTGCACTCCTTTCTGATTTTTTTTTATTTTTAATAGTTTTGATCTCCAAACACAATTAGGATAATACAAAGGACAACTCGGGTAAACATAACACAGTTTTAAATGATAAACCTAAGAAAAAAAAATTACTAACACCCATATCACCCATGTGACAAAGTAACTGTCCCCTTAGTCACTCAATGAACCAACAATTGAAATCTAAATGATAATGGGTAACAAAAAACTAGACACACCCAAGCTTAATTGCTGCCAGAGCTGTTTGATTTACACATCACTTAAATAGAACCATTCCGGCAATGTGGAGGTGGATAAGGGGTCTGAAGAAGCAGCACACCAAGCCTCAATCAAAAGAATTTCCTGAAGTCCAGAGAATGTAATTTATTAAACTATATGAGTCAGGAAAAGAGTACAAAGCACTCTGTAAAACCCTCCAGCGATCCACCGTGAGAGCATCATCTCTAAATGTAAAAGGATTAAAACAGTGGCAAATCTGCCCGGGAGTGGCCGGCCCAGCAGAGTAAAGATAACGCCAACAGGAAAGGCCTCTCTCAGGTCACTTAATGTCTGCATTCTTCACTCCATGATTAGAAAGACAATGGGCAAAGATGTTCATGGGAGAATCGCAAAGCAACACCCACGGCTACAACAGAGGAACATGAAGGCTTGTCTAACATTTGCCAAAAAACACCTTGATTAATCCCAAACACTTTTGAGAGGATGTTCTGTGGACTGATGAGTCGAAAGTGGAGCTATCTGGAAGACATAACAGCTAACACAGCTTTCCACACAAAGCACATCATGCCCAAACATTGTAGAGGTGGTGTGATGGTGTGGGGATGCTGTGGTGCTTCAGGGCTTCCCGTAATCGAGGGACCACAAAGTAATGAAGGAGAATGTCTAGTCATCAGTCCATGATCTGAAGCTCAAATGAGATTGGGTTATGCAGCAGGGCAACGATCTGAAGCCCAAGAGCAAGTCCACCTCTGAATGGCTGCAAAACAAACCAAAATTAAGGTTTTGTAGTGGCCTAGTTAAAGTCCTGTCTTGAAACCCAGGGAGATCAAAATCTAATCAAAATCAAATAGCCTTTTATTGGCAATTCACTATATGTCCATAACATACAAGGGGATCGAAATACTGTTTCTCTCTCATCTTCGTAGAACAAATATAAAATATAAAAAGTATAAACATATAAGATAAATATGATAAATATCAATAGTACTAAGGATGTTGTAGCAGGACTGTAAAAGGGAAGACTGATCTCCTCCTACCACATGAGTTTGATTGCAGCTGTTGATAATACTTGGTTGTGGTACCTGTAGCAAACTGAGGGGGGCATTTACTTATAGGCGTTGGTGAATTCTTTTTCATGTTAACTCAGGTTATCCTTCATATTATACTAAATTTGTTTGGAGATCAGACACAAGTGTTACGGATAAGCAAAAAGAACTATGAATGGGGGCAAATACCTTGTCATGGCAATGTAATTTGCATTATCAGCTACAATATTTCTTGTCTATACACGTAAATGGATAATTGGCGTCGTCAGACCTAACGTTCAGAGCATTAGACCTTCAATACAATCATCACGTGACTTTAAAACTTGGCCAAGTTATTAATTTAACTGACACCGATTTGCCAACTTTTGCAGGCCTGGAACACAGCCAGCGGAGACGTGTTTGGGCAGGAGCTCAGAGAGGACGTCAGAATGAACGTGAGCGTGAGTCAGGCCCGGCCTGTCACGCCGGAGCCCCCTGTGGCTCGCTCGCGGCGCTAATGAGAATAAAGCGCCCAGGGCGGGGGCCCTGAAGACTGCACGTCCTGTTCCTCGCCCCCACTTATCCATGATCCTTTTCGAGAAGGGAGGAGTATAAGCTCTTCAGTCCCTTTCGGTAAAATCCGGGCCTGATTACTGAAAACAGCAAAAGGCTTGAGTGTATTACATGTGAAACAATTTTTAGGAACACAACAAAGGAAATGCCATATTTGGGGGGGGGGAGGGGGGGCTTCCCCATAATCGAGGCTGACAGGCTGGAGCAGGCTGCCACTGGCTCCTCCAGGTCAGGTCAGGCTGAGCTCCAGCCACTGTGGGAGACATCCAAACAAATGCGGGGAGACATCGACACCGAAAGCCTCGGTGAGTCGGTCCAGGGAGATGCCGCGTGCGGAAGGTCAAACCACCACCCTAACCTACCCAGCGACAAAAGATGTGACAGGAAGAGGCCTCAAATCGAACAGGAGACCCCAGACAAGCAATCTTGGCAAAACTGCAATGAGACATTCGCAAATGTGACGGAGGCGAGAGCCTGTGAGGGTGACGAAAACCGCTGAGGACCCAGAGCGAATGGGATCCCAGCATCTTACAGGCGAGGATGAGAGCGGCACAGGGTCACGCGACGGCAGCCTTGGGGTAACGGTGACATAAACGTGCTCAGAACCTGGAGTCTGGCTCAGCAAGCGGGAGTGGGGAAGGGAGGCGGGGCAGCAAAGGGGCTGATGGGAACAATCTGTCCTTCACACTGGTGTCGGTGCTCCGGGTGCCGGGAGCCCTGTGTACACGGAGTGTGAACTCCACGGTACGTCCTTTCGCTGCAATCGCTGCCTCACACGGTGTGGGCGGAACTGACAGTGTGTCAAGCCGATAATTAGTCCAGCACTCACTTCGGGGGTGGGAGGGGGGACTGTCATGGCGAGCAAAGGGTCATCTTTGGTCATGTGACCCTGGAGGCGAACGAGGTCCTCACCGTTCCTGCTTCAGGGCGTACTCCAGCATCTTGATCCTCCTCACCAAGTCCTTCTTCAGGTTCTCCTGGCCCTTCCGCTCCCCCTGCAGGAAGGCGATCTGAGCCTGCAGAGACATGGAACTTACAGTCAGAATCAAAGCAAGGCCACACAAAGACACCGCCCCCTGCTGGCAGCCCTCACATAATATACACTTGGTATTATATGGCAGGGAATGAGTATTACATTTCAAACACTTTTTTGTGCTCCATTTTCTTTTTTAGCTGTGGGTAAAAATCTGCATTAAAATCACATCAACTAAATAGCTACTTTACTGACAAAGGATTCTGGGAAAGAGGGTAGCAGGACACCAGCAAAATGTCCTCTGACATTTACGCCGCTTTTTGATCATCCCCGATGTTACTGTCCCATCCAGAGGACTCAGTGCTGTTTATGAGCCCGCTGGGTGACAGGGACATAGAGCTTGGGTGACAGGGTTCCTGTAAATGTGGCGAGCAAGTCATTGGTCACAGTCAGTGGCTGCCTCCTTCCTGTCACCCGAAATAAACCAGAATAGAATAGGTAAAATAAAATATGCCATCTGCCAGCTCCTGAGAACCAAAGTGACCATCATTGCAGCATATCAGAGCAGACACTGCATATGGCCAGCACCGTCTGTGACCTTCGGCCTAGATACTTCATGCAGGGAGTTTTACTTAAAAATGTTCCGAGGGCAGAACAAAAAATGATTGGTTATCTCTCTGAACCAATCAGATTGTAAAGGAGGTGGGTCCAAGCAACTAGAAGAGCTGGGACTAAGACATCTGATTGGTTGTTCCCACCTCCTCTAGCACCAAGGTCCTCTACAATCTCAATGGTTCTCTCTCTAAACCAATCATTTTTCATGCGGTCATCAGAACATTATCATGCAAGTAAAACTCCCATACTCAGACACTTCACAGAACCAATGAGTTGTGCTCCGTGGAAATGTCTGGTCCAGGGCAGCGCATCTAACCAGTCGGCCCAGATCGGCCCAGGACCACAAGTGGGGAACCTCTACTCTGCAACACCAAAACAGACAGGCCAGACTGAAAGGCTTTTTCATTAAAAAGCGGGAGGCACCCATTTTTGCCATATGAAAAGACTGACTGCTGAAAGACTGTTTAACAGGTATAAAAAAGAAACAGGTCGTTGATTTGACATATTATTTATCGCCTACATAAAAAAGAAAAGTGGGATTAAAAATCAGATAGCGGGTGCCCCTCAGAGTAACTACGGCTATTCTGGGCCAGAGTAACCCAAAGCGAGGTTTACAGAGGTCGAGCTCTTACTGCCAGTTAATAAACGTCGAGGCTCTGCTTCCCATTATAACAATAATTGCTTGGAGCAGGAGTTGTGTTAGCAGTATTTAAATCAACCTCACTTACAGGGTAGGCAGCTTTATACCTCACCTGCGTGTGGGGCTCTGCTTCCATTTAAGCCGGTTAAATACCTAAGTACCACCCAAAGGTACAACAGATGGCTCCTGGGAGAGAGTGCTTACCTCTAGCTCCCTTTAATGACGCTTGAAGCACATTTTCCCAGCATGCATTGCGCTGGCCTGTCCAATTTACCTGTGTAAGATAAGGTGACTGGAGCCACATGCAGGGTCGCGGCTGTGGCTAACAGCCGGTCTGGCTCTTTGATTTGATGCATATTCATCCAAACCCCCCTCCCACAGCATGGGGGTGAGCCGCATTTTAACTGCTAACTTATGCACATCTCCGCAAATGAGCCGTAACTAATGTAATACGGTCGTTCCTGCAAACATGCCCTTTCCTACGAGTACCGTGACATGCTGTGACGGCAAGCAGGGGCAGCCATCTGTGGGGACGATGCCATGAGCGCCGGGGGGGCGGGGGGGGGGGAGGATGGGGACCTGTGAAACGCCCCGGACCACCGGTGTGACGAAATTCATTAAGGGCAGCGAGACGCTCCATCCCTCTCTCCCGTCCACTTTGTGAAGACCCGTGAAGACCCACGCAGACCCACGCAGACCCACGAGGCTCTGAGCGTAAGGTCAAGCTGCCTGCAGACTCACGGGGTCAGTGAAGCCCAAACCACACTCCAGCTCCAGTACCAACACCCCCCGCCCCACCCCCCACGCAGCCCTAAGTGTGACACGCGCCAAAACTGGGACAGCATTCTGCAAAACATTAATAAAAAAAATTTAAAAAAACTGCGAAAGTAGCCCTTGATTCCCAAGCCACTTGCCAAGGGAATATTTAAAGGGCCATGACGAGGAGGGGCCCCACACGGTCACCCAGACAACCACAACTGAGCAGAGAGCCCAAAGAGGAGCCTGGCCTCACTCCCAACACCCAACGTGACCAAGGCTAAGCTGCCCTGTGTTTCTTGTGTATATATTTTACCCACCACCACATACACATTTATATTTTATATTTGCCCAAAAGTGTCAATGCAATGTAATTAAAGATAAATCTGGTTCGTGGTCACAGAACAAGCAATAAAAGCCAAAACTATAAGAAAATTACTTCTAAAAGTATCTGGCTGCCACTTTGGAGTCACTGCCTGACTAGTAAATATTACTAAAGCTATAGCGAGCAAAGTAACATCTACAGTTTTCTAATTAGATAGTAACACATTATAACAAGTAATGTAACTGCATAACTAAATAATGCAACTAAAAAGTATTGACATTTTTATAGCCTCTTCACTCATTACTTTTGTCTTACGTGAAAATATTAAAGGACAAATGCAGCCGACTGCCATTTATGACCTCACAGTGTCGCAATGGATGGATGATATTCAGTACAGTGATTTGACAGTTGTGTCACAGCCGCAACCCTAAAACAATATAACTACCCAGACAGCACACATGTACTGGCACTATGTCTACGCGATGCTTGAAAGTCTATCAGCAAAGCATTGATATGCTGCAGAAACATGGCTATTGGATACTGATTCGACATTCCTCTGATATATTTCACCAGCAACACGATGTTAATGAGATCACTATATGACATCTAGTCTACTGTTATTTTTCCCAATTAGGCTATATAATCCACAATAGATTTATACACTGCTCTTTGGGTATGTGCATTAATAAGATAACTGAAGAACTTTTGATTTGAACTGAATTGAATGAAATCGAAACAAAACTTGTTCTGCGACAATCATTGTAACACCAGCCGAAAGGATCCAAATACAACTAACAGAACTACTGTTATCCAATGAGTGTTGTGGCTACGCTCATAAAAACCCAACAGTATTTTCAATCTCAAACAGTTTGCGCAAAAAAAAAATCAAAAGATTAAGACATAATCCGTTTGAAGAATAACATGCGAGTGCAATATACAACTGTCAGTTGTACTCAGAGGCTGACGAATGTAAATCTGGAAGCTGGGTGTGCGATGTATGAAACCTAACCAATCTGACTGGGCCTACACGGCGACACTCTCAGGCTGCAGAATTCACACGCTCTCTAAACTGACTGTTTTTCTCACACATATTCATGGGTATTTACTGTCGACATTTAGTGTTCAACTCCCATCGAAGTGAAGGATTAAGGTGCCTAGTTGACGTCTTGGTGCTCACAGAGACTGTGGGGGCCGTGAAACACGGGCTGTGGGAACTGCTACAGGGAAACTGCCATTTTTAGATCGTTCACAAACCATAACATGTTTAAGGCAATGCTTCAATTCACAGAAACGACACATTTCCCCTTGATTTCAATGCCCACCCAGAAAATGCATGTTTATAGGACAGAAGTGTCACGACACAAATTCCAATCAGACCTCACTGCTTCAGAAAGTACAATTAAAAACAGGCTGCAAAAACAAATGCAACTCTAAATAAAGAGCAGGCAGGCCGTTTTCAAGAGGCAGTTAAACACTTTACGTAACCGTGGTGATCTAACTTTGCAGCGTGAGCGTTACAGAATAAGGGGGGGCGTGACCCTCCCCGGGCGGGACCCACAAAGTGCTGCGTTCGTGTGAATGTGTCACTGTATCCCTCAGAGCAGTACGTCCAACCTCGACCCGCACAGACCCAGAGCGTTAACCGCTTCATCGCCATTAACTTGGACTAGGGGCCACTGTTGTTGGGAATGTTGGTCTGCCAAATCGAGGTAAACACGACAGCAGGGAGCCGGCGACCTGCCCGCCTCGTCACCAGGCCAGCCGCGTGCTTCGCTAAGCCGTCCTGAAAGGATTCCATCTCACACCCCACCCAGGCATATTTGTAAGTCACAGTAAAGCGAGTTCTCCACCTGCGAGCCCGTCCACCGTATGGGGAAGGTCACGTCATCCGGCAGTGAGGCCGTTGGGGTAGTGTGGTCCTTCGCGGTCTCCCTGGCTCGCGGTCTCGCCTGAGGCCCTGTAATCCGAGGCTCCTAAAAACCACTTCTGCAGAATCCTTCTTTGGCACCTGCAAACTGCCGGGTGTGTAAACCAACCCAGGCGGTGCCACCCGGCCCGTTTCCGGCTGCTCGGCCGAACGATAAACACGCCTCGTTTTATGGCCACTGGCTTCAATGGATCCACAGGGTAACCTGACGTGTGGGGATAACGGACAGCGCTGAGAGAGTGAGTGACAGAAGCAGACAGAGACAGGCCGGTGGGCCTGAATGATGGATCTACAGATACAGCCAGAGTTGGGAAATTCAGGTCCAGAGAGTAAAAGTCCAGACCAAGATTTTGTTTCAACCAACCAGTTGAGCATAAAGAATCACAGTCACAGAGTACTCAGCTGGTTGGTTGAAATAAAATCCCGATCTGGACTTTTACTCTCCAGACCAGAATTACCCAACTCTGGATACAGCTATACCCATGACCACAGCAGACTGTCCCTGTCACCTCTCTAAAGCTCCATCCAGGTCAGCCAGAAACGGAGCTGCAGAACCGATGAACAGGAATGAAAGGTCAATCCCGTCCCCTGCTGCTCTTATATTTCTCAAATGCTGCTTATGCAGCCAATAAGGTTCAGTCGCACAAAGCATAGGATGATGAAAAAAACATCAGATTATCAGGTTATTACATTGCTAAGTGCAGCATAAAGTCCAGGGATAAGCACTTAAACTCCATGACTCAGACAAACGTGGGTTTACTCCTGGCACTAAACGGTTTC